GAAATTACTCGGAAAATTTAGGCGCATCAAAAACCCTAAGGTTTCCAGGTAAGAGTCTCACCTTTGTGGGCCTGTGTAGCACAGGAAACTGCCCAAAATGGGACCGCCATTTTGGCTTTGCAAAACTGCGCAAAAACTTGTTGCACTATCAAGATTTATTACGGGGTAGACGTATAACCTGCATCTGGCGGGAACTACAATTATTTGCATTTGGCAATAGGAGAATGTCAGATAACGTCGGGACGAGGTGTCCACTTTAGGCGAGGGGCCCGGGTCAGGGCACTTTCCTATATACCTGTATAACTATAGCGTCTTTTGTTCTGATAATATTGCTTTAATCTTCATGAATAATTTTAAGTTGACAGTAAGTTGTTAAACATCATGGAGTTTGCGTTTGATGAATATTCGGATATGCATTTACGGATTGGCAAGAATGCTTTAAACACAAATACCTCGAAAACTGTTAGCTTTATACACTTCTAACAAGTATACCTTTTTTGTTGTCGGAATACGAGTAAATAAGATTTTTTGGTCAGTTGTTGTATACAGGGTAGCACAAAAAAGTTATGATAAGTTATTTCCCGAACTGGTGCTACCAGTGGCGCCCTTTAGAAGTTTGACCATAAAAAATAACGGATCCTTGTTACTAGAAGACCCCCCTATACCGAGTTATATGCCAAAATCTGAAATACTTCTCAAGCAATAAGAAAAAATAGAAAAAAAAATGTAACTTTGACGCCCTGTATCTCGCAAACTATCAACTTTCGGACTAAGGTGTGTTTAGGTCAATTCACATATTTTGGTCTGAGCAGATACGCTGTATACTCGTATATGTTCTTTTGCTACGTATTTTTCACTTAGTGCAAGCAAATCGCAGGACTTGGAATGAGCTCCTGTTAGTATTGTCAACTGCCAACAGTGTCGCATTTCTCAGCTTTGACTTGTATCTTTGAATGCAACCATATTGTCGCAGTCAGTTTTCTTATAATTTTCTGGTCTCTGCTTCGGAAAACATTTGTCATTGACAGATGAAGGCATGATACGCCAAATAGCCGTTGTTTTATGATTTTCCTTTTTTTGCGAAAATTTATGGGGAACTAGGGCAAACACAGTTTATCAAGAGAAAACGCTGTTAATGACAAACATCGACAGTGCAGTTCTAAAAAAGGAGATGATTATTTTGTCACATCCCGGGGACAGTTAGATAATCTGTAATGTCTATTGTGCATATAAGAAAGCAGTAGCACTCTTGAACTTCAATATTCATACTTGGTAATACGACCTCTGACAGAGGAGTGGCGAGATGGTAGCAACGTTCCTTCTCATAATGCTCATGATTAAGGCCTGGTCACACCATATGAGTTGCTAACATGACAATGAAGAATAGTAGTATTTGCATGACACTAGCTTGTTGTATGCTTGCAGCTTGTGCAACATAATATAATATAAGGTACAACAAACCTGTTTGCAAAGTTCTATGACCATGATAGATTGGCACACGTTGCGAGAAGCTGTCATGAGAACTATATCGCGTGGCTGACGCTGTGTAGTATTTCACAGATACATGTTTATAATAATCCGATTCGCTGCTTTTATGTTGTCAGGAGTTCCGCTGTATTGTATTAGTTAAGGCTACATTTTCGGTAGGGTTATCACGTAGAAATCTAGATAATGTCAAAAAAAATCGGTGAAATGTCAATTTGTGGACTAGATAGCCTCTAGTGTGAAGCTAGTTGGTTTCGCGCCTGCTGTAAGTAAGCGTTAAGTGAATGTCGCCTAGTTCAAAGGTGACGTTTTATACGAAAACCTATCTAGTGTCAAAAATACATAATGTCATGGAACATTGATGTAATGCCACTTGTCAAATTACGTTTCCTGGTACGTGTCTTCAGCTCCCTTCGTTCTACCTCCATCAGTAAGCAAAAGAAGGGAAGTGTGAATAAATAATAAGATAAATCAATAATAACGTATAATTTATGGTCAATACAACAGACATAAACAGAATTAATGTACTCATTAAAGAATTAAGATTGTCCTTCAATATCTCCATGTTTCTGACGTCACTTGAGCACTTCATGGTAGATAAGCCTTAAAATACTTTTTGCATTTACAAGATTTTCAAGTTATTTTTGGTGCTGTAGCATCAAGATAAAAAACGAATTCTACCGTTCTTTCTGTTTTCCGATATTGTTGCTACAACAATGTACAACTTGATGCATGTCTTGCATAGGAATATTATAGAGGAAATAATAATAATAATAATTTCAGCACAATCAATGTCGTCAGTCAACAACATAAAAAGAAATATTGCAGCTGTTATATTCCTGCTCAAGTCTAATGCTTTGACATTGAAACGCTCACATAATTCCTAGTTGCTGATACCTTGCAAATCCCCTTAGATTTAAAGCACAAGAATTTCAAAAACTTTGAACTTTAAACTTTTTCAGTGTCATTCGCGTAGCATCTGTAATATGGATTCTTGTCTGTTTTAAGATGCAATTTTTTCCGTTAACCCCAAATCTTAATATAACTGCATCAGCAAGCTTAAGCAACCCTATATATCCTTAATTGGAGTGTAGATCTTCATATCATCTACAAAACACAAATGTTCACAGCTCACGTTCTTGCAGAGGTCATTCATAAGTAGCCAAAACAGTAGAGGTGCCAAGCTAGACCCCTGGGGCATACCAGATGGAGTTGAGTACGCTTCGGAGTTGCAGCCGTTGTATAATACAAATTGTTTCTGTTCAAGTAAGACCTGAAAAACTGAATAGTGTTTTTTGTAAATCCAAAGAATCCTAGCTTTCTCAGTAAGACACCATCATCAATTTTATCGGAAGCCTTTGAAAGACTCGTATAAATAACGCCCACTTGACTATTGCCTTCTAAGGATTTCGATATACGAGGGGATTATTTCTTAAAAGCCATTTACTTTTTTACAAAGTAACCTTATCTCCTTCAAAGTACTGTCCACTACAACTAATACACTTGACTTACCGTTTTTTCTTTGACTTCTTCAATGTCGTCAAAGCGGCGTCCTTTCATGCCCCTGTTCATCCTTGGAAATGGGAAAATGTCGCACGGAGCCAGAATAAGCCGGAATAAGGTGCATGAGGCAGCGGAACCATGCCATTTTTACCGAGGAAATGTCGAACAGAGATGGCTGTGAGCACAGGTGCATTATAGTGGTGGAAGAACCAGTCTCCTGACTGCCACAAATCTTGTTTCACAATCGTCTTAAAACCTCCAAATAGCACAAGCTCTCGAATTTTTTCAACATTTTCGTCGATTCGGGCAGTTGGTGGACGTCCAGAGCGAGGTTTTTCATCACTTGACATATCGCCTCACTAAAGCTTGCCGTCGTAAAAAACGAAACAAGCACGAAACAGCTTTAGCAAAAATAATGACTGCAGAGGAACGAAACAAGCCAGATCGACAACTCAGGTGGCACTGAACTGGTAATGAGTTGCGCTGTACGCCTCTAGAAGCAGAAATGTGTACTGCACATTACAATGCTGTTCCGGTTATTTTTGGGCACCTCTTCGTATATTATGTTAAAGTAACTAAGTTCGTAATATAATGGGCACCTTAATGACTACACAAGCTTAGGTGCTAGCTCGCAATGTGTAACCAGGGCTTTATCAGCGCCCACGCGGGTCTTGTGCATCGAGTGTGTGAGTGTGTATGTCGAGCAAGAAACAGGAGAAAAAGATGATAAAAGGGGCGCGTTACACATACAAAGGAAATAATCTCGTCACGTAGAGGAGATCATGGGCCAGACAAGACAGCGCAATAAAAGTAGAGATAGCGAAACGCCAGTCGCGACTGTTTGGTACAAGCTATAACCGGTCATAGGCGGGTAGAAAATCTGCACGCTTTCAACTTGCTTAATCTTTCTCTCTAGTCGCTCCCTCAATGCATCTTATGCACCTCACAGGGAACCATAAAAGGTTGTCTTTTATGCCGGCTGAATTTGGTCCGACCATCTCACCGCCGATCTTCGACGACTCTTTCTTCCCTGAACATCTTTGGGTACGACCAACCTTTCCAAATTACCCTTTTTTTAGCTATATGTCTAAAAAAATCCTAAGGTTACTAAGTTATTTCATACAGTAGATTTGTTAAAATTTTAATAGGAAATAACGCCATATAATTTTGATGATTTTAAAATGTGCTGTGGAAACGTCTCTGCTGCCTAGATTCTAGATCACTTTAAGTAATTTTAGACGGATCTTAGTAAAACAACACTATTGCAACTTTCCAGTCTTTAATTTTTATTATTTACATTTTTAATATGTTGCTCATGTTTGTATATTCGATGTTTACCATACTGTGTGTTATAATTTTGATATAACATCTGCGTTACAATGTATATTTGTTGTAATTGTCAATTATTGTATGCGTATGCATTGTTTCATCTGTTTTTATAATCGCTTGTTTATTTTTTATTGTCTTGAACTTACGACTCACCAAAAATGTCATTGTACATGCCCTGGCTCAATAATATCTATCTATCTCTAGGCTTCCAGTAAGTAAGCAACTGATAGCCTACCTTCAGCTATCCGGTTCAAATAGCTTTGTATTTGCTGTAAAAATATTCTTCCCAAATTACCTCAAAGCTGGACTTGAAGGCTGATTCCCGATCCTAAATCCTCGATTGGCAATGGAGTGGTACGGACAGAACTACACCGTACAGGTTTGACAGCTACCTAAATAGGACAGGAAAGAGAAAATACGTGAACCGCGTATATTGCAATGATGAGCAGGAAACTCCTGATCATCAATTCGAATGTGGTAGATGGATTGACTACTAGGAACAGTTGGAATTCACGTTCGGCGAGAGGCTCACTGCTGACTATCTGGCATGGCATGTGAACCAAATCAAAATAAAATGTGAGGCGGTAACCAATATAAAAATAAGCCTAAGAACCAACAATAGGTTCATACTTGCTCGGTTGTCCATGCACATGGGTACGTGTATATGTATCAGTTCGATGGAGAGTAGATGGCTTATATCTTTGGTATGAAGACTTGGGGGCGCTGTCATGAAGAAATTCTACAAGCACTACGATGGTGGAATGTGTAGCAAGTGACTGGAGGTTTTAGTTAGTATGCCTAGCCTTTTCGCCTGAGAATCGCTATAGGAGCTTTTCCTTGTCAAAAAAAGTCGTCCAGGAGTGTTTCGTACACTTGTCACATTAGGAACAAAAATGAAAATTTTAGATGTCCGAATGCTTTAATAACTTTTTGTGCTTCTGGGCGGTTTAGCATTTCTTGATAGCAATGCTCAAAATTACCACAATATACCTAGTTTCCTTCCCTTGTGAAACTGGGAGATAAAAATAGAGTGTTTGCTCTTAGAATCCACCAAGTTGCTGAGGAATTTTCCCACGGTAAGGCCACATTTTCTCATTTCCAGACTATAAATAGGGATTCCCGACACTGACATCTTTAATGCCAATGCAGTTGATGGACGTTTATAAAAATTCTTGCGATCTCTGCAATCTCTTGCAAAATCATTTTATTGGATAAATCAAGTGTGTATGTGAAGTATCTAATATCACTTTTTAGCCGAGATCTACGGGAAGTGAAACTAATGAATATTAGTATAAAAATATGTTACTTAAACAAATTATTGTTTCCTACATTCATTCGTTCCCATTATTTCTATCTGTAGGAGTGTCTACCTCTATGCCCAGGACGATACATAATATGAGCTCTCCTGAAAAATTAGGAGAAAAACTGTCGCAATACTGGCTGAAGATTTTACACATGTCGCTGTGTTTCGCATCGCACACTCTGTTTTATTAGAACAAAGTCTCATGTGCTATTGGCTTAAATCTTCCACAATAAGACATGGCTGTTCAAGCATTCAATATAACTTTGCCGACAGGATTCTTGTTTCACCAGCCGTGGCTTGCGTATTCGAAAAATGTAAAAACGTTACTTGCCACGCTACCGGCGAGAAAGTCCAGAAATTGCTAGTCATTATAAAAACGAGATATTACGATTGGTCCAACTGTCTCTCCGCTAAAACCTGGTAAGTACAAAAGACAAAAAAGAATCAATTGAGGAGCAAACTTCCTAGATGCATTTTGTCCATTTTTTGTAATTTTGGCACATAAAGAAAAACTACGTGTTTGGCAAGAAATTAACCAATAAATTGATATACCCAAAAATGAATGAAAAATCGTGCAAATTTTATACCTAGACGCGAAAAATCTAGTATTGATTATGTCCTAAAAAACTTAAAAAAACTGTCGGAAGACAGCATTTAGATTGTCAACCTGGGACAAAATGCATTTGGATTGTCTGCCCAAAGCAGCATGGCTGACTTTGTAGGAAGGATGTAAAAAAACTCACGTAGATTTATGAAACTGGTACATATTTTATTTTGGAAGTATAAAACGATAATTACAAATTTTACAGGTCATAAAGGTCCCCAACGTCATCGTTATTCCAATCGCATAACATGTCGGCTTCTTCGGAAACATCATCATAGTCAGTTTCATATTGGTTAATTTCAGAACTATCAGAAAGGATTGGCTGCAACCATGTTAACTCAGGATGCTTGACCCAATCTGCCCTTGACGAGTTCCACGAGCAGTTTCGAGAGGCTCTGTAATTTTTTGTATCAATATCATTTTGAAGCATTACAACAGGTGACTGTACAGTCGAAAGCTTCTTTCTGCGTTTTAGTAACGTTTGAAATTGAAGGGATCGTGGTTTCTGTAAAACAACTCAGTGTTAAACAAGATATCGCTGTTGTTCTGTGATCTCTTAAAAATATTTCATTTAGCAGCACTGAGCCCCTTTCTTTAAAGAAATTTACACAGTTTTTATATCGTATGCAATCTAGTCTTCACTAAGTTATCTATCGTCTATCGTAATATTGCGTGGGTCTTTTTTGTACTGTAGGATCATGTAAATTTATCAGAAAACACGGTCTAATGGCAATTTGTCCAGTCCGCAAGGACAAACTTCTAGTTTGTCTACCGCTACTGGATATACAGCACATAGAAAGTCCAAGGAACTTTTACCATTTAACTTGCATGGAACAACGTCTTTGTGGCATAACATTGTAGAGGTGTATATCTATTTTGCGATGTTATCTTTGGTTGAAAATGTGACAAAATGGACAAATTGCAGACAGCCTGCTCCTCTTTTCACTTTATTCCTGCTCATTTTCGGATAATAAAAAATTTGGGGTGGGGGATTGTCGAGGTGCAATCGCGGAAAATTTCACACATAGATCTCCTCAAAAAATTAGTCGCTAAAACTTAAAATCATAAATCACCTGACGCCATATGTTTGTGTCCATACGGATCTCGTCTGTAACTTAACTTAACTTTTTGCTACTTTAGCAATAAATCACTTCTGCAAACGCTTGGTATCAGTGGTTGAGGCATGCGACCTGTATCACGTATAGATGGACACCTCATGGAAATTTTTCTCAGTGTGATCGGCATGACATACCCCAATACACACGGAGAAGACATTGATACGCAGGCCGTAGCTTGATGCTAATTATAGATGCAGACAGTTGTGAATTCGCCAGGGCTCGTTAGCCATTTATTAAATTATCCTAACGTCATTTCTGGATGCAATAATCGGCAAATGAGAAGTGGTAAGGGGAATCGGAAGGGGTACACACACAGAGCATTGCCATCACGAATATTTCACGGTACGGTGATCAAAGAAAGCATTTTGATTGGTTTACTCTGGCGATTGGAATGCCATTGACGTAGAATTGACGATTTGCAGTGGAATTTGGTATGAGGTGATAGCTGTCATAGATCCAGATACCGGAATGTGTTGTATAGCAGAATTAATGAGAAAATTGGTCATTAGGAGAAATAATTCCCAACCGAACTATATTTATGAGATGGCCACAAAAGATTTTTATGTTCAAGACAGGCATTGACTGCCATAATAAAGAAGATACGTATAACTTTAGCTACTTATGATAATTAGAATAGGAGAGGGTTTCTTTGAGATTGAAACAACCGGGCAATCTGCTTAACAGCATCCATCGATCTGGCATATTGCCCAAATAATTACTGTGATCAACTTTCATAGCTATTCCCATAAAGTTAAAAACAAAAGTCTGCTGTGAATATAGCACTATCAGTTAGTTCATCAAGTGTGAGGGATATTTTTGGAAATCCATGCAGAATCTATCCAAACCAAAGTTACGTATTGGAAATTTTCGGCTAAACGTGCTAACACAACGATGCCTAAACGCTCAGATTACAATGCAGCATCCGACACAGTTCTACATAAAGAAATTATTAGGTACAAGTACTTGAGGAGAAAAACATATACAGAATGTAACAGAGGTTTGGGATACATCGAATATCTGACGAATGACCCAACTATTTTTTTAAAAATCGGTAGGTTTGGGTTCGAAACTACAGCGGATCCGTTGTCGATATCCGCGATGTAGCCGAACCTACAGATTTTTCAGAAACTGATAACAACTTTTGTTTTTCTTATGGAATGCATTCTATTCGATATTTGTATTCCGCGAGAAATTTTGAGTACTTTTTATCAAACATACGTTGACGTAGACCTCATAGTTTTCGAAATATTCGCGGTCAAACAGTAATATTCAAACAATAAAAGGTATTTTTTCCACCTAAACGATGACCGGTATGGCAAGTAATTTCCTGTCATATCAGACATTCAAAACGTCCATCGAGTCTTGTTAGTAGAGTTATTGAGGATGAGTCATTTAACTGAAACCCAGAGTACAGAAATTCTAATGATTATATGTTTGCGACATTTTTAGTGACAAATATCCCAACTGGAATCCAACGACTGTCGAAGGTCTACTGTTGGAAATGTTTTGAGGAAATTTGAAATAACAGGACATGTAAAGGATGCTCCACGATATGGTCGTCCCAAAATGAAAATAAGGCTTTGAATATTTTGGTGAGCATAGCGGAAAAAATTTCTCGCAGAATACAAATATCGAATAAAAATAAGAAAAACAAAATTTGCTATCGGTTTCTGAAAAACTGTAGATTTGGCAACATCGCGGATATCATCAACGGATCCTCCGTGGTCTCTAACCTAAACCTATCAATTTAAAAAAAAATTAGATGAGTTATTCATCAGATATTTGATTCGTTCCAAACTTTTGTTACAGTCTGTATAAGATATAAGGGACGTCCAGATAATAACTGTATGAACAAGAAGCAGTACAGTACCTATAAATGCATGACAGACAAAATGAAAATTATAAGAGACATCAGATGTTTTATTAGTAATACTATTCTATGTATTTATGTATGTTGTTACTGGTTTAATTTGAAAACCTTGTAGGAACTGCCGTGACCCTGCAATAATCGTAAACAGTAAACAAGGGTAGACATACTTCTAGTGTAACTACCTGAAGTTTTTCTCTATGGTTTATACGTAACTCTCCACCTATTATCTCATTTTTTAGTTGAGGCCCCTTCATCTGAGAATTGTTTACGTCTTCGTCTCTTTCCTAACCTCAATGTTACATTTTGACAAGTGTTCGGTCCTTTCATTCCCGGAACATTCCGCTGTTGTTCCATTGCTCCTCTCGAACTTTGTGTTCCGTGTCCAAGTTGAAGAGACTTCACTTTTTGGTCGTAGCTCTGTTGAGAACCTCGCAGATCTTCACGCCAAATGAAGTCTAAGCGTTCTTCCTTTTTATGTCTCATATAATCCTACGGGGATGTGGGAGACGGGAGTCTTCGACGCTTTTACGGCGTTCTAGCCGACACTTTTAGGCCACACTCCAACAGAGGTAAGCAATTCGGCTTGCGTTAAAATGGAGCCCGGCGCCATATTGGATTTTTGTTTCAGGCCTTTTGTTTCATCTTCTTCCAACTTTTCGTCTTCTTCACGTTACGTTTTCTCCACCATCTGATACCTTCAGATGAAGCCCTGACGACTTTTCCACGCCCTGCCCTGTAATGAGAGTCCCAAGCAGCTCCTGAGGAAGGGAGCTGATTCAGCTGTTGCCAGTGTCCACAGACGCCATGTGCTGAAACCCCGTCGTACTGCATCTATAT